CTTTGAGGAGCCAATTATCGGAGGCCCTAATCAGGGATGAGAGTAATAAGCTAGGCACTTCTGGAGCCTGCAGGGAGGGAGAGGTGTGGCCGGAGGATGCTGAGTGATGGGAAGAAGCGAGATGATACTGTGACATCAGCCAGAGTCACAGCATAGCCTGCAGGCTCCGGGAAGAAGTTTGGGTTTTACTCTGAGTGTGATGGGAAGCCACTGGAGGGTGTTAAGTAGAAGTCAAATGTGCATTTTTTTAAAAAGCATCAGCTGTTGTGTGGACAAGGGGCTGTGGAAGGGACACAAGCGAAAGAGACAGACCGGATCAGAAGCCATTCCAATAGTCCAGTGATTAGAATCCCTAGTCTGAGCCTGGTAGGTAATTACGATATTTGTTTCATATATATTAAGAGTACTTTCAACCTCATTTCTTTTTTTAGGAAAGTCGTGACAAGCGCTACCTAATCCAGAAACTCACCGAAGCCCAAGGGGACATGAGGAACCAACCAGCATAGACCGAGCAGGACAGTGGTGCTGCCTGTTTCTTCTCAGCTGACCCAGTGACTCTGTCAAGCCTACAAAGTCCACCTGGGGTTTTGAGTGGAAATCTTACAATGTATGTTTTGGAGTTTAGGCTCTTCCCGATCGTGGCTCCGTATGTGCAGCTGTGTTTACCTAACCCAGCCCTTATGTAGGCCTTAGTGTCTTAGAAAATCAGGGCAAACCTGAGCCTTTGCCTGTAGACCGGCAGCTCGGTGATGACTCTACCAAAAACAATTAACTTATTAAGCCATTCAAGCTTTTACAAGAATTGAGGAGAGACTTTTCTATTTTTTAAGAGCTTATTTATGCTGTCTTTTAAAGTTAACTTTAGAGCTCATTGTTCATGAGGCTGGGTTATTTCTTGCAAACCACGTGGTAGGGGTTTAGGCTGAGGGGTATTCCTTAAGAAGCAGTGACCCTTTTGAATGGCTCTGTTGACTTAAAATGAAACCTGATTTTTTTTTTTTTTTTTAATGAGCAGAAATCCTCAGATCGTGAGGTTGCGAACAGATGGTGAGAATGAGGAGGAAGGTTATGTCATTTCAGCTCATAGTAGTAATAAGAGAGAGAAACCCCATCCCTACTATGTGAATACGTCCCTGAATGCCTTAGATGAAGACTCGGGAGGAAGGGAATGGCTGCAGGATGGCAGTTTTGATTTCTTCGCTTCTGGGCATTTTGCTGTAGCCTTATTTATTACTCAGGGGAAAACTGTCTTTAGAGGGCTAGTTATCCACAAGCCTTCAGTTCCCATCTAGTCCTCAGTTCTCAGACTTGGTGGACGACCCTGTGCCTTCAAAATTAAGAGGTGGACAAAGTTTGTGTCTCAGCCTTCCAATTTCCCTTCCTGGTCTACACTAAGCTCTTCATTTCTGAAGGACACTTACCATTTCAGAGCCAGGCTGGAAAGGGCGGTTTAGTATTTGAGCTGAGAGTTTATGTGCATAAGTGTTTTAGGATGTGGGTTGGAGTTCAGCCTGTTAAAAGACCAGCCTGTGAATGTGTACCAAGCTGAACTGGGGGCTGGTTTCTTAAATGCACGTGTCCACATTTTTAAAGGCTATTGTTTGTTTTCCTACGCTTACATTTTTAAATGCACATGCCTTTATTTTACAAAACATGCAGAATATCTAAGATTTCCGTTATAGTAAAAGCCATATGCAATAAATACCTCATCACAAGCTTACCCGAAATAGATAGCTCTGAACTTTTTAATAGAAGACTAAATTATTTTTTAATGTAACCACTTTTCATTTTAATATCTGCAAAATCTTTTTCAAAGTACTGTAGTTTTGTAATGGACTGTTTGAGCCTTTCTTCCATTGTTTTTCTTCAACCCTTCCCAGGGAGTAGCCTGGAATTTAAAGTTGGGTGCAAGTTTTAGAAAGCTGCTGCTATCAAGAATAATTCCCACCCCTACTTCCATTGCTCCATTCCTCAAAAATGATTGACTCCTTGCTCTGAAGAGTAAAGACACATCCTTGTCCCTTTGCCACAACCATTTTCTTGTTCTTCTACAAAGATAGTATTAACATGGGATAATTACCTGTGAGACCAACGAGCCTTTCATTCTTTTCCAGTCTTGTTAAGGCTTATGTGTTGCTGAATCTCATAATTGGTATCATGAAATTTCTGAGTAACTCAAAGTTCATTCTATCCTCACTTAAAAAACAAATTCTAATTGCATGTATTTTAGCCTAGTGGCTTTATAATATAATGTTTTTGTTTTCACTATGTTTCTGAAAACATTTGAGTTTTCTATTTGTGTGTGTGAAATGCACTCAATGAAAATATATTGCTGTTTTCTTTCCCTATTATAAAAGTGATAGTGAAATGTGCTAATATATTCATTTGAGTTAGATGCTGCTAATTTGCATACCTCTTACTTGAATGTTTTTCTATGTTTTGATAACTTTAATAACTTGAGGTGATGTCTGTATAATTTTTAAAGTGCAGCTCTCTAACAAATGTGCATTAAAACTACTGATTAAACAATGTCTTGAAGGTTTTAAAATGTGACTGTGATTATGTGAATTCATGGATGCTTCTTGTTAGCAACCAAGCGATCACGGGAAACTATAACAGTTTGTAAAGTTGCTCTTTGCCTTTTCCTAGAATCAGAGAGAAGAAAAGTGTTTAATGCAATTATCAGATGAGTGCTTTTAAGACCTCTTGGCTCTGCTGAAGCTAAGGAGGGTTGTATGCGTGTCCATCCCCCAGAGAAAACCACTAATGATACTTATTTTATTCTTCCAGAGAATTGTGATACATATTCAAGCAGATAGATAGATAGATATAGATAGATACCTATATATATAGATAGATAGTTATATATAGGGTGTATGTGTAAAATAATATATTTCTGAGATTCCCCTTTTTCCCTCCTTAATAACATCCGGAAGACATTTTCATATAAGCAGCTACCTCATTCTTTTTAATGGCTACATAGCATTCTGTAGTATCAATGTATACTTTATAACCATTACAGGGCTAGCAGATACTTAAGTTGTTTTCATGTCCTCCTCCTTTACAAACACTGGAAACTGGCATTTTGAAAGAACCTGCAAACCCTTCTCTGTCTTGCCCCATTCTGCTTCAGGCCCTTGTTCCTAAAGCAGCCTTGCAGGTTGACACAATCACAGAATATTCTTCCCAGCAAAGAGAAGAATCCAGTTAGGCAAGTCTTTAGTTTGCATTAACTCTTAAGCTGGCAAAGTAAATTCCTGCAGCTACAAATCTGATAGCAGCTACCCACTTACCTAAGTATCAGAGAAGAAAGGAATTAATTTTGCCAGGGTGGCATAACAAGGTCTGACTCTTGGGAAGAGAGAACTTCTGAATGTATCTTCTTTATATAGGGTGTGGCTTTACTAGTAAATTCCATTTGGTGTATTTCCTTTCCAACATATGGGATGTGCTTGGGACATGGAATAGCTTTGCTACTTGTTTAATTGTGTGATTTTGCATTAGTGTCTTCATCTCTCCGAGACTAAGTTCCCTTATCTTTAAAATGGAAAAATAATATATATTAGTATAAGGTTGGGAGTTGTGGCTCATGCCTGTAATCCCAGCACTTTGGGAGGCTGAGGCAGGAGGATTGCTTGAGGCCAGGAGTTTGAGACCAGCCTGGGCAATATAGTGAGATCTCATCTGTACAAAAAATTTTAAAAAATTAGCTGGGTGTGATGATGTGTACCTGTAGTCCTAGCTACTGAGGAAGCTGAGTCGGGAGGATCGCTTAAGCCCAGGAGGTTGAGGTTGCAGTGAACTGTTGTTACCACTGTACTCCAGCCTGGGCAACAGGGTATGACACTGTCTCAAAATAAAAAAAAAATTAAAAAACATATATATATACACACATTCATTTTTATTTTCTAGGATTGAATTAGGGAATAGTATGCTTTTTCTTTATGAAATTTTGTCATGATACTTCATTATAGAAAATACAAAGAACATCCAAAGCTACAGAGAAAAAAATTAAAATCACTTATAAGCACCATTTATGGACATCTGTTGTTAATCTTGGTGAAATTCCTTTCAAGATAGAAAGGAGGGAGAGAGAAAGGATGGAAGGAAAGAAAAAATGGTATTTTCATTTCTTTTTCACTTAATATAAGTGTTTTCTCATGTTATTAAAAGTTCTTTGTAAACATTTTAATGAGCTATATAACATCATACAGATGAATCATAATTTTTAAATATGCCCTTGTTTAACATTTTGTTTCCAAATTTTCCCACTAATAAATAACTGGGACATCCATAAACCTTTGTCAATGATTTTCTCCTTAGGGACAGAGATGTAGAAATGAGATTATGGGAAAGGTTTTGAACATTTTAAGGCTTTTCAGAGTCAGATTTGCATTCTCAGTAGCCTTATATGAGAATGTTACATCACCTTTACTATCACTAAGTATTGTGTATCTGGGTTCATCATAATTTTAAATTATTGTAGTGTGTTAATTGGAACACTGTAGAGTGATATAAAAATAACTAAAAATTTAAATTCAGTTATTTTACAACAGTATTATATCTTAAGATATTTTATAGTAAACTCGGATAAAATATATAAATAATCCAAGAGTGTAGAGAGTGAAAGCTCCCTTCTCACAATCCCAACCGATATTAAATGTTTTGTTTATATACTTCCAGATATGTATCTTTCATTTTTTTTGCCCTCATATACATTACTCATTTGAAAAATTCTGTTAAGTAGATCCTAGAAGACTGCCATATTAATGATACGCACCCTAAAAAAGGTAATATGTTGCTAAATTTCCCCTTCTTTCAAAAAAAAAATTTGCCACAATATACATGCACACCAAAAATATAGTAAAGTGGATACAAAAATAATACGTGTTCTCTGCAGAAAATTTGAAAATAGAGAAAAGGACTGGGAAGAAATTTAAAGTTGGCTTTCAGCCCACCACCTAGAGATAACACTATTGACCATGTGGTGAATTTAATTTTAGCATGTAATTTCTACTATTTTAAAGTGGATGTAGGATACAAATAGAGAAAAATCTCTTCCAGGTAGGCGAAGCAGAATGAAAGGGACAGCCTTACAAAAATAACAGGAAAATACCTAATCCTGCAATTTTCCCAGTAACTGTTAAAGAACAAGCCTATCTATGAGTTTTCTCACTAACAGATACCCTGCAGGAGTTCTGTTTTGTAAAACTTCTGAAAAGAGCTAAATGAACGGAAAAGAAATGTAAATCTTTCAAAAAAAATTTTTTTTTAAATCAGCTTTTACAATGTTTCTGAGCAAACAGCAGGAGACGGGCTACAGCCTCAATTTTATCTATCTACTGCCGCTTTTGTTATCAACTGACAGCCATCCTTATTTTTTCTTCTCTTCATCCCCCTTAAAATCGGCGAGCCCTTGGCCTCGCTGCTGGCATGTCCCTTCTCTCTTTGGGATGCCACGCCGTCTTCCTGCTCTTTCCCCTCTCTCTTTCTTTCTCTCTCTCTCTCTCCTCTAAGAAGATAAAATAAATTTTACTTTTATATCTTAATTTCTGCGTGAAAAATCTTTCTCCACCTGCTCAAGTGAACACCTACTAGGTTTTCCACTCTAAGAGAAAATACGATGGCTGTGTCAATAAGTAATTCCCTCATGGTCCTCCTTCCCAGGAACTAGGGTAAGAAATCACGACACCGTCTGAATCTTTGAGAGTAATTTAGCATTCTTGTTTTCATGGCAACCTTCAGGCGCCATTACCGCCTTCGCTTTTCCCAGTTATTGGTAGTAACCGCATCCAATAGACTCTTTCCATTTGCCGTTGCCAACCAATCGAACGGAAGCAGGGGCTTAAGGGGCGTTTCCACCGGTGCCAGGGCGAGAAGCGACTTTCTTACGCCTGCTGTGCGTCATCAGTCTGCACCAAGGGCACGATTGGCCCGCTTCGCTCAACCGAGTGGCTGCTTTGTTGTCCCGGCAATGATTTACGCCGGGGCGGCGACGGCTTCCTCCCTGTGGCGGCTGCGCTCGGGCGTCCGGCGGCCCCTCTCAGGTACATGGGGACGCGCGGTCGTGGTCATGCGCTGGGCAGGCAAGTCAAGGAATTTTGGTCTGAAGCTTGGGCCAAACAGGTGACGTCACTGGTCTGCGACAGAGCGCGACTATGTGCCATAGATGAGGGGGCGCTGGCGGGCGGGGCGGGGCCTGTAGTACACCGCGTGAGTGACCGGCGGAAGGGGGTGGTTTTCGTCAGCGACCCTTCGGGCGTACGGTCAGGGTCGGCGTGTTGGGGAGTGACGTAATTGCCCACCTGTGCAGTGACGTCACTGCAGGTGTGGGCGGCGTTACGGGGTAAGGCCAGTTGGCGAGAGTGAAAGTTCAGTGTCCCCGGAATGTCTCCGTAGTCTTTGCCCAGGGCCTTGCCATTCAAAGTGTAGCCCGACAACCAGCATCGTCAGCCTCTTCTGGGAACTTGTTAGAAGTGCATATTCTTGGGCCCCACCCCTGACCTATTTAGTCAGAGTCCGCACTTTAAGACCTTCAGATTATTTGCATGCGCTGTAAACCTTGAGAACATCAGTGTAGTGGAAGGAGCATTGAATTTGTTGGAGAGAGACATGGTTTTGGATCCTGGCTCCTTCTGCTTTCCTTCTGAGCTGCCTCAGAAAATTGTTGTGTGCTCTTTGCCCTCCTTTGGCTCTCCCTCTGCTGTGACAGGGGGTCCTGTCGTCATCTGTGGCGTATGTACCATGCTCTGAAAAACTATATTTTTGCCCTATAATCCTATCTTTCTCTCCTCAATAAACCTCATTTTCGTGCTTGCCTAAAAGGAAAAAAGAAAATTGTTGTGAAGTTGTCTTCTCAAAGTTTAATCATTCGTGTGCCACCTTCAGAATTTTTGCCTTATGGCAATACCACTTGAACTTTGGATTACTGAATATGTTTCTTGTATAAATAAGCCCCATTTTAAAATTAAATAATTTCTCAGAAACTAAATCCTTATGGTAAATGGAAAATTAGTATTGCCTGCCCCAAATGGATGAGTAATCATAAAAATGACATTGAAAACAAAAAATTATAAAATTGCATTGGACACTATAGCAAGGCTTGAACCCAAGACCATCTTTCTGTTAGAAAGGAAGATTAGCAGGTTTTAGGAAGGTGTTCAGGATATACCAGCTGTAAATGAAGGTGTCTTCCTTGATGAAATCTAAAGGATTGAAAGAGAATTTTAAAGAGTAACTCTTAATACATGAGTATTATTTAATGCATACCTGTATGCCACTGTATGCCACCTGTATACCACTTAAAATCTCCTAGGTGCCACCATTGGTATGTTTCACATTTTGGGAAAACAAGGATATAAAGTGATACATTTGAGAGCTTTTAGCACTGAGCCTCAATTTTATTTTAAAGTGTGTGAAAATGCACGCCAAACTCAGAGGGTTGTTGAATGTGAATTTTAATGCCCCTCTGTTGAGCCAATGAGCATAATAATAAGAATCATTCATTTTTACTTATAAAGTTACTTTGCTTCCTATGTCTCATTTTATCCTCATAACTCAGAAAAGTTTTGTATGTTTTCCCTCAAAAAGGAAATAGCCAGATTATTGCCAATTTTATATGTAAGAAATGTTGTTTCTCATTTGTCCAAAGTTAGTGTAGAGATGGGACATGCATTTTCTGACTTCCCATGTTCATGCTCCTTTGCTTGAAGTGTGGCATTTAAAACCACACCTGATAGAAAAGTTCAAGTGCAGAACCACCCCAAAGTTCACCAACCTACCCCATCACCTTGTGACCAAAGAACTCAAGCCTTTTAAATGAAAGAACCACAGATGTATTCAAAATAAATTTTTTCCACATATTTTCTGGCTGTTTGCTTAAGTGGAAAGAAGTATCCATAAAAGACATGGTAGTCACAGCATACGAGCCCTGAAACACATTTCAAAGGGATACCAACGCAGGTCGAAGCTAACATTACAAACTGAATGACTTCTGAGTCTCCATTTCCATATCGCAAAATGAGGTGAATTACACACAAGCATACCACAAATCCCTTCTCTTACAGGGGAAAAAAAACTTTTGAGATACCCTAATATAAAGGATCAGAGAATATAATTAAGGAGTTTACAATTAGGAGTTTTTGTTTAAAGCAGAAATCTAATCTGTCCTGAAGAATTTACATTTTGAATATGAGAAAAGTTTAGTTGGGTTGTTGTTGGATCATAATGAGATGAAACCTAAGCTCTGAGGCTGGAGTCTCAAAATCAAATGCCCATGAGTGTGGGTGTTTTAAGGGAACTTACTGTGGTTCTCAACCTGGGCTACAGAGAAGATTTGTGCACAGAGCTTTTTAAAAATATCAACGCGCCCCACCCCCTGCAAAAGATTGACTGGGGAGAAGCATTGTGTTTTTGAAAGCTCTCTGCTGTGCAGCCTGGGCTGGGGAGAAGCAGGGTGAGAAGGGTGGGTGAACTGTAGAACATGCCCATCTAGAAGCAGCTGCTACGTTCACTCTTTTTGGGAAGACAGGCTCGGCATTTCCAGATCTTCATACACTTAAAGTGAAGCCAGAGATTCAAATCTTCAGGTAAAATCCTCTGTTTTAATACTGCATGTTAACTAGAATATATTTTATGGGCATATCCAGTCCATGGGGAACTCATTTGTGCCCCTTTCTTCTGTCTGCAAAAGGAAATATCTCAATTTTACCTGAGAGTAACAAAGAATAAACACTTGCATTTCAGCTTATGGAAGAAGAATCAGTGTCAGATTTTGCAGTTCAGGAATGACCTTAGATAGTATCAATCGGGCAGCTGTGGATCGAATAATCCGGGTGGATCACGCAGGCGAATATGGAGCCAACCGCATCTATGCTGGGCAGATGGCTGTCCTGGGTCGTTCAAGCGTCGGGCCTGTCATTCAGGTGGGTGCTTCTTTGTCTCTCTCAGCCTAGCCTACAGAATGGGTGGATCCGAACGCCTTAAAGTAATAAATCGCATTAGGTCATGCATTACTAAGGGGGATGCATGCAGTTGTCTCCAAGAGAGTGAAAACTTGGTTCTTGGGGGGAAGGGGGAGTGAAAAGCATTATTCTTTTTCTGTATAAAGTGCAGATAGACATATAGTACATAAACAGATACGCAGTATATCTATGGCATTAAAACTTCATGGCAGGGGCAGGCAATAATGAAAAAAAAGGTTGAGAATTACTTCATTAGGTAAAAGCACCATGTGCTGAGGAGTTTAGTCCTGCTCCGTGGGACACCAGGGGAGATGCTGTATACTGAGGCAGTGGAAGGGCCTGGACTTTGTAGTCACTCAGACCTGGATTCACATTTCTGCTTTCTGCCACCTGCTGTCTGTGTGACCCTGACCATGTCGTATGACCTCTCTGGGTCTCCACTTTCATATCTGCAAAATGGTCTGATAATGGCCTGGGTTTGGGTGAGGAATAAATGGGCTGGTATAGAGCAACTAACACCATGCCTGGCATGCAATAGACAAGTTAGTACAAGTTAAATTGCCTGCTCCTTGGGCAAGTTACTTAACCTCTCTGTGCTTCAGTTTCTTCATCTGTGTACTGGAGATAGTTTGTCCTTCACAGGGCAGTTGTGTGGATTGAGTAAGTTGCCTATGGAAAGCTATTTGACAGCACCTGGCACTTAGGAAGTGCCATCTAAGTGTTAGCTATTGTTATCATTCTCCCTTTTTCCTTTGATGTAAATACTAATACTCTAGCAGTAAGAAAGGAAGTGCCATCTAAGTATTAGCTGTTGTTATCATTTTCACAT